ACCAGCCATCTAGTGACCATGTTTAAAATTATTTTTAAAAATTATTTTGAAAATATTTTAAAAACAGACATTTTTGTTGTGAAACAAATAATACATACAAAAGTGCCCATGGATAGAAAATTTTGACAGTGTAAAAAGAAATATGTATATAGGCATCAGACAGCTTGTGGATGGGGCGTGTTTGCATGATGTCAAGAGGGATTGTGAGCACTGACCTTGTATCTTGTTGAGTCCTTAGTCTTGCATCTTGTTGAGTCCTTAGTCTTGCCAGGTGCTTTGCGTGTGATGTCGCAGTTAACCCTCAGAGCAGCCATCCATGGGAGTGTGAGTGTTATTCCCACTTTACAGGCCAGGCAACTGAGCCTTGGAGGGGTTAAGCAGTCTCACCATGGACCCAGTTAATGAGTGGCAGATGTGTGAAGCCTGGCTTTTCATTGGCCTTGGACTTTGGTACTCACGTAGGTGTCAGTAGGTTAATGATATCTGGCATGGATGATGCATTTCAGTTCCTAGTTCCGCACTTTAGATGTGGARAAGATTAGCCTTTGCTCCACAGCACTAAGATGGGTGAAGATTCAGTGTTGGGGGCAGGGCTTGGCCTCAGTTCCCCTTGTCCAGGGCTCCTGTCTGTCCACCACCTTCATCCCCTGAATGCATGGCGTGGGGAGAGCTTGTTCCCAGGCCCAGAAACAGATACCAGGGAGCTTTGGTGTTGACCAATGTCTGTCTGTCTAGGGGTGGGAGTGKGGGGGGGTGTGAGGTTTACAAGTCAGAAACACCCTAACTAGAGCTTCCAGAACTCATGTTTGTGTCTGTGAGTCACCCAACTTCCAAACCAGGCTCAAATCCCACCCCCACCCCCAGTGGAGATGCAACAGTCATCTCCATTCTCCRTGGTCCATGTGGTACCAGACTCTGAATTCTATCCTTTGCTATTTGGCCTTTCTGGGTACTCTGCAAATAGAAGACAGAGAAGATGTATTGAATGAAGAGGAAAAGGAGACATGGCCTTAGGCACACTGGGCTTAGGTAGAGGTACCACTGCCTTCTCCCAGAGACAGATCACCCTCTGGGTAGGAACTTCCAGTACCATGGGAAACATCCATTTCTGGGCATCTAGAAGTTTCTTGATCCACGTTGAAGCCTGATGTCAGTGTGTTTTCCTCTGTTTTTAGTCTGGACATTTTAAAACAGCAGCAGATCATTTCCCATAACTACAGAAAAAGGCAACTGGTCTCTAGGTAAATTTGTTTTGATGACCTGTAGGTTTGAAATTAGGTTTGCAGTTTGACCAGCCAGGGATGGTGGGAGCCAGCTCCCAGCTGCCATACCAGCCCCAAAAGACCCTTTAATACACAAAGTTTGCATCACAGTGCAAAAATGAAAGATAAAGTAGGTATATTCTTTAGGAAAGACATCAATAGCCCTTACTTTGTAAAAACTTGTCCCAAAGATGTGACCTCTCTTTTCCAAGGTTAGTAGGGTTCATTCAGTTTTTCATTTAAACACTATTCACTGAGCCAGGTGTGGTAGCACACGCCTGTAATCCCAGCAGCTCAGGAGGCTGAGGCAGGAGGATCGTGAGTTCAAAGCCAGCCTCAGCAACTTAGCAAGGAGCTGAGCAACTCAGTGAGACCCTGCCTCTAAAWAAAATACAAAAAAGGTCTGGGGATGTGGCTCAGTGATTATACGTCCCTGAGTTCAATCTCCAGTACCAAAATAAAAATAAAAACGATTTACTGAGTACCCATTATGTGCTAAGCACTGAAGATTATAAAGGGAGCTTCTTTGGCAGCTTTCTAGAATGTGTAGAATATAATAAAGGCCTGCATTTTACCTGATTAGCTGGAATAACATCTTACCAGGACATTGCTCCAACACATTTTTCTTATGTGGGTGTTGTAGGAAATTGTGCTTCTGGATGTAGACTGGAAGAAATATGGAAACGATTTGATTTTTTTGAAGTAGTGGGATGGAGTGGAGGAGAAATCCTTTTTTTTTTTTCCATTTTGAACTTGTCATCTGTGTAGTTAAACAAAAATAATATTAATGAACAGAAGTGGCTAAGTGGCTCTTTTTTGTTTGTTTGTTTGTTTGTTTGTTTTTTTGTATCCAGAATTTAACTTGAGGTGCTTAACCATTGAGCCATTCCCCTTTTTTTGTATTTTATTTAGAGATAGTGTCTTGCTGAGTTGCTTAGGACCTCACTAAGTTGCTGGGGCTGCCTTTGAACTGACAATTCTCCTACCTCAGCCTCCTGAGCTGCTGAGATTACAGGTGTGCAACACTGTGCCTGCTCTAAGTGGCTCTCTTGATCCCCACTCCATGAACTGTCTTATTATCACCTGGGAACTTATTAAATAGAAATTGTCAGCTCCGCCCCCAGAATCAGAAATTCCAGGCTGGGATATGGGAATCTTTTTGCTTTTCTTTGTTTCTTTCTTTCTTTCTTTTTTTTTTTTTTTCATACTGAAGATTGAACCAGGATACTTTACCACTGAGCTACACCCCAGCCTGCCTGCCCCTCCTTCCTTCCTTCCTTCCTTCCCTCCCTCCCTCCCTCCCTTCCTTCCTTCCTTCCTTCCTTCCTTCCTTCCTTCCTTTCTTTTTATTTTGAGACAGGGTCTCATTAAGTTGCTAAGGCTGCCTTCAACTTCTGATCCTCTTGCCTCAGCCTGGGGACTAAAGGCATGTGCCACAGGAATCTATACTTAGTCTAATGCTCTATCAAGTTTGAGAATGTCTGCTTTTAGATTCCTATTCAGTAGGTCTAGTTTATACTGTGTTCTTTGTTGCCATACCAAAATATCTTAGGCTGGGTACTTAGTATWCTATTAAAGAGGTTTAATTGGCTTAGGATTTTGGTGGCTAAAAGGTCCAGCATCATTCTGCTTTATCACAACATGGTATAAAAGCAGAAAGGGAACTGGCCACATGGACAAGGGCCAAGTGTAGGAGGTGGTCTCCCTTTATAGCAATCTACTCTTGGGAGAACTAATCCATTCCTGTGAGAGCCACATTAATCCCTTCAAGAGGATGGAGCCCCCAAGATGTGATTACCTTCTACCAGGCCCCTCAACTTAAGTTTCTACCATCTCCAATACCACCATATTTAAGGWCTAATCTTCCAGCTCATGCACCTATGAGGCACATACTCAGAGCACATCCAAGCCACAAGAGGATTTGAGATTCTGTATTCCCACATGTTCCCAGCTGATGTGGTCACAGTTGGTCCATGGACCACCCATGAGTTATTAGGTTGTACAAAGCACTGTAATGTGATGGGAGGGTTTGGGTTGGAGTAGTAGTTCCTCAGTCTTCATGTTTTTGTTTTTGTTTTTTAAAGAGAGAAGAGAGAGAGATTTTTTAATATTTATTTTTCAGTTTTCGGCGGACACAACATCTTTATTTTATTTGTATGTGGTGCTGAGGATCAAACCCAGAGCCCCGCACATGCCAGGCGAGCGCACCACATCCCCAGCCCAGTCTTCATAGTTTTTAAAATAAGAGATTTGGATACAGCTATACAGTGAGACACCATGGTACTGTTAAAAGGATTGAGATTAATGTAAGCACCAATGTGGAAAAATCAGCAGGAATATTGTTAAGTGRGGAAAAATTATTTTTTCCTTTGTGGTACTAGGAATGGAAGCCAGGGGCACCCTGCCATTGAGCTACATCCCTATCCCTTTTTATTTTTTTATTTTTAGACAGGCTCTAAGTTGCCCAGGCTGGCCTTAAACTTGGGATCCTCCTTTCTCAGCCTCCTAAACTGTTGGGATTATGGGCATGTGCCACTGTGGTAGGCAACTGCTTTTATTTAAATGTAAAAGTTAAAATACAGTTTCCTAGCCCCCACACCTAGTTTGTAGGGTCAAGGCAAGCCCAGAAATCTTTACGGRCCTTGGGGGATTCCTCCAGGTGGCAGCCCTCCTGTCTCCTAGGCTCCAAGATGGTTCCAGGGCCATGGCAGCAGCTCCTTCCTGCTTCATGTAGCGCTAGTACCATATTCACCTCTCCAGGCTATCATGCTTCCCATCCCTCTTATAGCCACGATCATTCCCTCTAGAGCCTAAATTGGATCTTACTCTGATTTGGGTATTTTTTTTTTTTTTAATGGACGTTCTGAGGACCAAACCCAGGGTCTTGTGCATACCAGGCAGGTGCGCCATGACTGAGCTATACCCCTGGCCTGCTATGGTTATCACTTAATTTCATTTATGTGGTTGCAATGTTTGAACAGTATGGGTGTGTGCACTACACTGCCTACTACATTGCCCAGCACCATTGGACCCTGGCTGCCCACTCCAGAGACTGGCGTGGTAATTCACCCTGCCCTGGCTCCTTCCCTTCCCTGTTTCGCTTCTTCAATACCCAATTGGTGCTTCCCAGAATGGCCTCTCAAACTACTTGGACTGAAATATTTGATTCAGTGTGTGTTTCCAAGAAAACCCAAACTACATAAAAGAAAACCAAAGCTGGATATGGTGGCAGTTTGGGAGGCTGAGACAGGAGGATCGCAATATGAGGTCTGCCTGGGTAACTTAGCAGGCCCTTAGAACTAGAAGTGAGACCCTGTCTCAAAACGAAAATAAAAAAGGCTGGGGATGTAGCTCAGTGGTAAAGCACCCCTGGATTAAATCTCCAGTGCTCCCTGCCCTTACCCCACCTACCCCCCCCAAAAAAAAAGCAAAGAAAGAAAAGAAAAAACAAAGTTGACTTTGCCYACTGTAAAATGAAAACATTAAGGCATACATACATGTGGGAAAAACAAGAATCCCTCCCGGAGGAAGGTGTCAGTTTTGCTCTGTTGGCATTTTTGTGTCAGGTTTGCTTGTGTGGATGCTAGGATCTTTTGCAGATGGTTTTGTGTTTTGCTTTAATCATTTTTCTCATGTTACCATAAATCTTGGTCTTGGTGATTTTTAGTGGTTTCATAATTGAGAGGCTCTGGATTGGCTGTGACCTAACAATGATGTGTCTGTCCCTCCTCTTTGCAGGCATCCGCCCCTACAAATGTGACATCTGCAACAAAGCCTTCACCCAGCGCTGCTCCCTGGAGTCCCACCTGAAGAAAATCCACGGGGTACAGCAGCAGTACGCCTACAAGCAACGTCGGGACAAACTCTACGTCTGTGAGGATTGTGGCTACACAGGCCCCACGCAGGAGGACCTGTACCTCCACGTGAACAGTGCCCACCCGGGCAGCACGTTTCTCAAAAAGACATCCAAAAAGTTGGCAGCCCTTTTGCAGAGCAAGCTGATGTCCGCACACCAGGAAAATACCCTCCTGAGTGAGGAAGAGGAGAAGAAATGAGGAGGATGAGGAAGGGAAAGAGAAATGCTAGTGCCGCCATGTTTATTGGGACTTTTGGTTTGGAGGCTGTCATACCCTCCCTCATCCAACTGGCTTTTTTTTTTTTTTTTTCAGTACTGGGGATTTAACCCAGCTGCTCTTTATCCCTGAGCTACACCCTCATCCCTTTTTATTTTATTTTAAGATTGTGATGCAGCCAAGTTGCCCAGGTTGGACTTGAACTTGGGATCCTCCTGCCTCAGACTCCTGAGTCTCTGGGATTATAGGCGAGCACCATGRTGCTCAACTTCCACTGGCTCTTTTTAATTGCAAGTGTTGAGTTCACCTCTCGGTCTTTTCCAGACATCAACAGTAGGATCTGTTCCAAGGTTGTCAATTATCATGTGGCATCAGGCCCTGTCCCTTGTGTCCAGTTGAATAGTCACATTCATCAGAGTCACGGCCGAGATCACCGTGTAGAACTTTTTTTTTTTTTTTTTTTTTTTTAATTTCACACATGGAGGGAGGGGTGTTCCTTGAGAGACCATCATTTTATGGTGCCTTGAAATGCTATTTAAGCAAGGAAAATGAATTTTATTATTCTGAAAGAGTTTACAGAAATTATTTTAATAAATGAAACATTCATGTGAAAGTTCTCTTTCCAAACAAAATAGAGTGTTGACATATAATTCTGTGTTTAGGGTTTATTGTGTAACGTTGGACTCCAGGTAATTTTGTGGGGAGGTTGATGGTCTCATAGGTTTGAGGAAGCAAATTTTCATTTATTTATTTAGTTTTTTGTACTGGTAATTAAGCCTAGGGCTGCTTTACTACCGAGCTACATCTCTAGTCCTTTTTTTTTTTTTTTTAATCAGGAATTGAACCTAGGGGCACTTAACCACTGAGCCACATCCCTTTTTTTTATTTTGATACAGTGTTTCACTAAGTTGCATAGGGCCTTGCTAAGTTGCCAAGGCTGGCTTTGAACTTTCAATTCTCTTGTTTCAGCCTCCTGAGCACTTGGATTCCAGGAATGCACCACAGCACCCGGCTTCTCAGTTTTTTTTCTTGACTTTATTTTATTCTGGGACAGGGACTCACTAAGTTGCTTAAGGTCTCACTAAATTGCTGAGGCTGGCCTTGAACTTGAAGCCTCCTGCCTTGACCTCCCAAGTCTCTGGGATTATAATWATGTACCACTGCACCTGGCAAGGAAGCCAGTTTTGATGTTTGGGAAGAACAAATGGTTGGTCGAAAGCCTTGAGCAACAAGTTGGTGGGCAGACATACCTGGAATGGGAATACCAGGGAACTCATCCACTCTGGTCTTTGTTGATGGCCTGGGGGGCACCTGCAGAGGCCTTTGGCTTTTGGGGACAGGGAGTTGCTGGGTGGAGGCTCTGCTTCCTCCCTTGAGTCTGGCACTGGGTACAGTATGTGGCAAACCCTGGAGCATGAGCAACCYGCTTGCACACAAGAGTGTACCTGCCTGGTGCAGTCTCCTTTGATATCTCTGTCTGCTCACTTTG